AAAATTTCGTTTTTTTTTTTTTTTTTTTTTTTTTGATTGGATGGGCCCCTGAATCATTCAGTTTTGACTTCTGGTTAACTAGTGTTCCAACCAGGCAGAAGTGAAAACTGAAAGATTCAGGGGCCCATCCAATCCCCTTTTTTGCAACCGAAACTGGGCCGTAACTGGGCCCGCCCCCACGGTGACTAGGAGGAGAATTTAATTTCGGCTGATCAATGACACGCCTCTGGTACCACTATACCCAGAAGAACTAGGAAAAGAAAAAGTGCACTTCATGTACTAGTTGTAGATGCACAATGTGCGAGGCCTTACTCTGGTGGAGGGCACAAAATGCAAAGAATGAGAACCGCGCAGCACATCCGTGGATGTCACAGCATCGCCCTTCTGCCCCGTCCACTCAGGCAGAAGGAACTAAACCACCAGTACTTGGCCCAGCTACCGCCGGTGGAAAAAAAAAAAAAAAAAAAAGAGGACAAACGTTTCTAGGCAGATGAATTTGGGCGCTCCTGTAGTAGCCCGTATGCCCAGGCAAGAAAAAAAATGCCTTCCTGAAGTCATGGAAGATATTGGCAGGCCCGGTGGGGTCGTGGTGGAGCCTCGGCACAGGATCGTTTCGAAAACCAAAACGGACAAACACAGCGCACAGCAGCACCAAAAAAAAAAAAAACGAGAAAATAAAAAAATAAAAACTTTCGCTGTTAGGCTCGCCGGTATGGAGGAGGTCAGGGTTACACAGCAGAAGTGCAACAACTCAGCCTCTTTTCAGATAGTCATGCAAGTGGTCCCGATCAACAACTGGAAGGTGGATGGGCCTCGTTAGACCCTCCTTGGAAAATCCTCAGGAATTAGGATGGAGTCCTTGGAAAATTTTCCGGTTTTCAGCGTCGTCGTTAAAGGTTTCAAGGAAAACCCTTGGAGGTCTCCAGCGGCCAATTTCATATGCATACATGCGGCCGCGGGGGTGGATGTTCGTCATCGTGCTGGGATGTCTGTGCGTCCTCGGGTGTGGTCCAGTGCCAGTGGCAGGGAGGCCTACCGGGCTGACGAAGAAAAAGGGCGCCAACATCCCCGTTCCTATTTCGAATTTTGAACCCTTCGTTGTGACACATCCGTGCGTGAGGCATCCTGGCGGCTGGACTGGAGACGGGGGCGAAACGTCTGTGCGGAGGAGTGGAGGCCATGGCTTAAAAGGAGGGCATTGGAACGTTGGGGGACGTAGCATGTATGCGATGTCGCCTTCATGTTCTGCATGCTCTTCGGGCCGTCACAGCTTAGCACGAACGTAATGCTTCCGTGAAATGTGGAAAGTGCGAGCGCGGTCCCCATCGACTTGCAGAAGGTGCAGCGAGGGCGCCGGCAGGCGAACGAGTGGTGGGTGCTTGTGCATTGCAAGTCCTGACGATGGAACAAGAGCTCCCGGGTGGTGTGAAGGCATTAACGGCATTGGAGAGACACACGATTGTCGCAGCTGTGTCAGTCGTCATCATGCGTTATCGCATTGAGAGAATGACAACTCGCTTGAGGATGAGATTGTCCGTTCGCAGGCAGAGGCAGCTGATCCAACAAGTGATGGATGCACTGGATTGTGTGTCGTTATCGGAATCCATTGTGCAATTCTGTTGCGCCATGGCATCGGTTGTGATCCTGCGGGCGACGCCGAGATGGTGGATGAGGAGAAGGATGGGAGGGACATGGGAGGATCTTCGACAGGTTGACGACGTGGCGAAGGGCTACTACAAGGAGAAGCTGCGGAGTGGAGTAGTCAATGGCGCCCGTCGGCTGTCTGCTGGAGGTTTCCCGCCTGTCCATCGTCGTCTTCCTCATCGTTCGTCGTTTTTGTCTGCTGCCAGGACCTTGCACAAGGACGCACATGTGGAACAACATGGCAAGGACCTTGCACAACGACGCACATGTGGAACAACACGGCAAGGAGCAGGAGAAGAGTGGCCAGCAGCACGAGCGGGAACAAAGTTTGAATTTAAGAATTAGTGAATTTCAACTTTCTTGCAAATCAACATTTTCTAATTCGATTGATAGTATTTTACAAGAAGACTTGCAGAATTTTGTGGATCGAGCTTCAATGGAATCTAATTCTGATGTAATCTTAGCAGATGTGAATCACGTCAGATGAATCGCAGCATGCGAGGCTTGTACCAAACAAAGCTTGCATCAATGCGTTCGACAATAGCTGACAAAACACGCTAGGCAGATGCCTGCAAGCGACCAACAGTGCTTCAACATCACTTGTAGACAAATAAAAAAATTTGACCGTTGGACACCATGGCCAGCTACGCGCGCATGGAAAACCCTGCTTCGTGAAGCGCCTTGCAGTTGAAGAACCACCCCCACGCATTTCCACGCCAACGGTAATGGTGGAAGGCCGTTGGGGGCCCGTCGGGTACTGGAAGCCGGCGATGTCCGCCCAATGGACCACGGACGACCTGTGCACCAACATCGATTCCAAATTTTCCTGTCGGCGCTCGCTCCAGAACACGAGGTCGTTCGTGGTCCATTGGGCGGACATCGCCGACAAGACCCCTTGAATCGCGGCTCCTTGAACCCAAGGGACCTCACGAGGACCCCTTGAATCTAAGGACGTTTTGGCTGGAGATCCTGAGGAATCCAAGGAAATCTCTCGGGAGCGTTTTCACATTCATTCAAGGAATTGGTGAATTAGGATGTAGTGTAACGACGCCAATTTCCTAAAAATCGGATTAAATTTTCCAAGGAGGGTCTAACGAGGCCCTATCTCACATAAATGGGTACCGATGTTTATACATATTCTTCTCTCATCTATAGAAACGAAGGTAGTAGGTCTACACTGGCTACATCTCCATTCATGTGTCCCCACAGCCCTGTGGTGCTCAAAGAACGGGATGGAAGTTCGGGTTAGCTTGATGTTTGTCCTCACCTCTGCTTAGAGGACTGGATGCACCTATGGTGGGAATGTGTCATAGCCAGGGGATTCTGGGAATTCCTTAACAAACTATGGAGCAAGGCATACAATGTAGTACAATTCTGCGACCAGGATATGCTTATCACCGAAAGGATGAGGCCTCATCTCCAGAAACAGCAGATGGGGAAATTTTCCCCAATCTTCAGAGCAAGAGCCTTTTGGCAACTATGGCTCGCCAGAAATGACAGAAGATTCCTTGGCACTGAAACTGAGCTTCCGACCCTACTTGCCCAATATAAACAGGCAATGCGGCTGGATATAACTGCTGACTGACTGGTTTGAAGTTAGGAATAACTCTTCTTCCGCAGATCTGGCTCTTTCTCGCTTTCGGAGAAAGTGGTCGTCCCCCTTCCAATGGCCAAAAATTACTCAGATTTACTATGGGATCACCCCGATATCAGAGCCTGCTTTTATGAGTAGAACCTCGACCTCAAATCAATTTACCTGTTTTACTGACAGCTTCTGCATTTGATTTCCTCTACCTTCTCAATAGACGGTGCTCTTGGCAAAGTGAGTTACCTACATTCCTTCATGATTACTGCAACTTCTGGTGGTATAGGAAAGCGAAATCGGGTAATGCTCTAGGTATGTTCCTGTCTCTTATACACATCTAGATGTGTATAAGAGACAGCTCACACACACACACACACACACACACACACACACACACACACACACACACATTGGACTATGGACTCTTTTTCTCCTTTTTTTCTGTTGTATTTGATTATGTTTGCCAAGGAGCTATGTAAACTATGACTAGACCGTGCGAATCGTGACTCTTGAAATCCCCTGTATATTTTATTAATTTTAGTACAGTATTTTAGTGCACAATTGTTTTTTATAAAAGGAAAACATTTTTTTTTCCCCTGTTTCATTTCTAATAGTTATAGAATGTGGCCAAGACAAGAGTTGTTTAGCCTCATGAGTCATGAGTTTTGCAAATCGTTTTTGAAATTTGAAGCCGTTTTTTTTTCCCAAATGCTGTGATATTCTTTTCTTTGCCCTCTGGAGGGTTGACTACAATTCAATGGTATTTTCAAACTGGTAGTACCTACAAGCAGGCTGTACTACGTAGGCAAGCGTTAGAATCTCTCTCTCTCTCTCTCTCTCTCTCTCTCTCTCTCTCTCTCTCTCTCTCTCTCTCTCTCTTGAGAATGTCTTGAGAAGCTGGGATAAGAGAGTTGACAGTCTGTCACAGTCCTTAAGGAGGGAAGTCACATGTCCAAGATTGGGGAACCTCCAATGGATGCGCAGGAGCCAAGGGTCTGGGGATGTGCAGCCGTGTCGCAGCGAAGTAGAGGGTAGGCTCTTATCTCGTTGTTAGACTGACCTGCACTGATTTCAGCTGGAAGGGTGCCCTGGTGCATCCCCCCCCCGACCTGCCAGCATGCACATTGCATTGCTGATAAATGGCTGGGATATGAAGTGGTGGTTCATTTCCACCAGTGCCTACCGGAATCCACAGTGCTTTCATTTTTTTCCCCGTTTCAAACAAATACACACCCGTGCGGCAGGCCCATTCATCGACAATTTTCCGTCGCGTTAACAGCTAGCTGGAGTTTGCGGTGGGTACCGACGGTGCAAGTGTGGAATACTTGATCCAGTAATGACAAACATAATCAACATCTCTCTCTATTTATCATACTTGCGGCGCATCTGTTAGGTGTGCTGCGCTGATCAGCGCAAAAAAAAAAAAAAAAAAAAAAAAAAAAAAAAAAAGCGACTGTGATGTGTGTATAGTACTGTATACACGCGTGCGAGCGAGCGAGCGAGAGAGAGAGAGAGAGAGAGAGAGAGAGAGAGAGAGAGAGAGAGAGAGCAAAGAGCCCTTTCACATTACTCAGGAAAACGCTGCCCATACTTCAGAAATCCCCTGCCAAAATTTAGCAAGGGTCTCCTCAGCAAGAAGAGGGTAGCTGTTTGGCTTGTAGGAGGGCACGAGCAGGCCAGCTATATATATGGTGTAGCTTCAAATTCAGCTCCCTGTTTCAGCAGTTATGGATTACTGACTTACTAACTCGGCATGTGATTTTCAGGGCTTCACTCCACTACTCAACAAATGTGCAAAACTAGAATGAATCTTCCCCTAGAAACTGGAACTATACGCCGCCATATGTTTTGTCTTTTGTGCAAGTGGTGATGAGTGGAGCAAGGCCTTTAGGGCCACTACAGATAAGAAAGGGGAAAACGAAAAAACGAGAGAGCTACTGTAGTGTTAGTAGTAAGTTAATAACTGATGGAACACAGTCCTGAATCAGAATCCAGAATATATTGCTGGCCTGCTGCGGTCGTCTGTGTGCTTTTCGGTGAGTGTCTTTCCAAAAATATGGGACCCCTGCTAAAAAAACTGGGGGGGACCCTTTGGCCTTTGGAAAAGAGACGAGATTCAACAAGAGGATGAACGGAAAATGATAGGAGATGAAATGAGGAGGAGAGCGACGGATGGAGAAGGGCGAACGAGGGAAGAGCGGGAGGAGTGCACGGTCATGCCGAAGAAGATCATGGCAACGGTGACGATAGTGATTATGGGTGAGGCCAAGAGGATGAAGGAAGAATGATGGGAGATGAAGCGAGCAGGAGAGCGACAGATGGAGAAGGGCGAACGGCTGGAGAAGGAGCCGGAGGAGAATTATGCACAGCTGGAGGACGAGAAATGGGCGTGCAACGACCACCATATTGCACACGGTGATGCCAAACAAGCTCATGGCGACCATGACGAGGATGAGGATGATGATGGGGGAAAGTCGAGGATGATAGACAAGGAGGGCGGAGCAGGAGAGCACGGCTGCGATGGATGGATGATCCGATGTAGGAGGACAAGGGAGGATACAGAGGACAACGGAGGATGTGGGAGCCTGGGAGGAGGACCAAGGCAGCAGGAGGAGAAACGGGTGGGCGACGACAACCATGACTCTCTCTCTACGACAACCGTGACTCTCTCTCTCTCTCTCTCTCTCTCTCAAAACGGTGAGGCAAAGAGGATCGACGGACCATGGTGGGAGCATGATCGCCGACAAGGAAGGGGGACGGAGGAGGAGAGTGACGGATGTTGAAGGGAGGAGTGAAACAGGACAAACCGGTCTGTGATGTAGCGATGCTGACCAGAGGAGGAGAAGCACGACAGGTGAGGAGGGCAGAGGAGAAAGACAGAGCAGGATCAGAGGCCAAGAGGATCAGGGGAGAATGACGGGAGATGAAATGAGCAGGAGGGCGATGGATGGAGAAAGATGCACGGGGGGAGACGAAGTGGCAGGAGGAGTGCAGAAGAAGGACGAGAAAAGGAATGAGAGAGGCAAACCGTGGCAGGAGCACGAGGAGGAGGGGGACGTGTTTCCCGATGGTGAAGCAAACGAGAATGAAACAGCATCTGAGCCATAGAGATAGTTTTCTTAAACCACCAGTACCTCCCACCTAGTTTTTGCGGACCCTGATTTTCACTGCGCGCTGAGTTTTGCCAAGCCTGGGTCCCATTACATTCTCTTTTCTGGTACTCCTTTGAAAAAAAAATAAAAAATCGGCTTTGCATTCAAAAGGAGAAAGGAAGAACATTCTGCGATGGGGTCACATACACCCAAAAAAAAAAAAAAAAACGAAAAAGAGAAAGAGAGAAAGTTATTTGGACAGGATACCTGGTAGATACGTTTTACAGAGTACAATGTGTGAGTACCCCCTCAGTCAATTAAAAAAAAAAAAAAAAAAACGCGGGCACTGTCAGGTCCACAACATAAGGAAAAAACAGCAAAAAAACAAAACTCCCCTTTGGACTGGAAAGCGGGTTCATACATTTTCAGAAATAGCAGTGTTACAGCAGCTTCCGTGACAAACTGTCAGCAACCCGTGGGATGCGCCCTGCCTCGCTGGCAGGGCGCCAAAACGAAACGAAACTGAATGCAGACACAATAGCTGTTAGATACCCTACAGGAAGGGTTGGTGTGAGCTGAACGTTGTGCACGTCCTTCCCCGACAACAACCAGTAGTTACATTCTCCTTTTTCTTTCTTCTTCTTTTTTTTTCCCTTAGTATTTGCGGGCCTACAAGGCCCAAAATTTTCCCTTTTGCCAACCCTCGTTCATCCATACCCCCGAGAAATGCGGTGTGACGTATATTCCCCTTTTTCCGAACACTGAGAAAGGTAGTGGCGCTGTTTCTTCTCTTTTCCCCTTTTTTTTTTTTTTTTTTTTTT